CGGCCGTCCAGCGCTGTCTTTGCTCATATCCTACTTGCTGTAATTAATAAAATTCTAATTGGATTATGATCCGTTGTGGCGTAAATTTATAACAAACCCAAACAATCCAAAAGCCAATATTCATATAAAAGCACCCATCTGCAATTAAATTTTTTAAAAATAGTTTTTTAGAGTACTTAAGGGTGTTATTAAAGTTTGATTTTTTTGGTTAAAATATATGAGAAATTATAGTGGTGTTTGGTTTTGTACTTAACATATTTGTAATATGAATTGTTTTACTAAGATATGTTAGATTGTTTGTTAGTTTTTTAGACTGGCTAGCGCTGTGAGAGGCTCTGAGCACTGCCTGACAACCGATGAGTCAGAGCCGTTCCGGGCGATGATTGGCTAAAAATCACCAGGCGGGACCAGTGCACCGAGTTCCTGCCTGGGAATGGACTTGTCATCAACACCACGCGCTCTGATTGTCCAGAACCTGCTTCGGGGCGGGGACGGGAAGAACTGGGGACCCCCAGGAGCCCCCCGGGTTTGGGGGTTTCCATCCCCCCTCGGCCCCCGGGGCGGCCTTGGGGCCACCCCAACACCCCCGAAATGGGGAGGGTCCCCGGAGCCGCTTGGAAGCCCCAAAAATGGGCTGGAAGCGACAGGAGCCGCCCCAAAAAGGGATTGAAGGGTCCAGTCCGGGAATGGCTCCGATCCGGATTGGGGCGGGCTGGGATTGAGGGAGGGTCCGTTCAGTGGCTGGGGAGGGGCTGGGACTGGGGATGGGTCCGGGATTGTGGGGATGGGTCCATTCCCGGATTGGGGTGGGGTCTCTCCATGGGATTGGGGTCCGGGATTGGGTCACGGTCTCTCTCTGATCCCGTTCCTGATCCCAATCCCAATCCCATTCCTGATCCCGATCCCATTCCTGTTCCTGTTCTCGATCTCGATCCCACTGCTGTTTCCAGGGAATGGCTCCTATATCAACCCCAACCCCAAACTCATCGGGTCAAACATTCGGGTCAAACACCCCAAATCCTAACAATGGAAGGGGGTCAAACACCCCCAAACCAAAAATCTGGGATGTCAACCTCCTCCCCGCCCCAAACCCCAAATTTTAGGATCAAACCCCCCACATCCCAGATCCTGGGGTGTCAAACACTCCCCAGTTCCCAAACGCTGGGATTAAATCCTCCTGACCTTAAATCCTGGGGTTCAAAACATCTGGGGTGTCCAACACCCCAGATCCCAAAGTCTGGGGTCAAATACCCCCAAATCCCAAATCCTGAGGTGTCAAACACCCCCAACCCCCAAAGTTTCGAGTCGAATCCCCAAATCCTAAATTCTGGAGACAAAGCCCCCCAAACCCCAAATCCTGGGATTGCCAGAACCCCCCAAATCCCACATTTTGTGGTCAAACCCCCTGATCACTAACTCCTGTGGTCAAAAACGTCCAAATCTGAAAGCCCAAATCCTGAGGTGTCAAACCCCCTTAAACCCCAAATGTTAGGATCAAACCCCTCCAACCCCAAAGTTTGGGGTCATGATCCCGACAATCCCCACCCTCCCCAAACCCACGCCAGCCCTGGGGGGCACAGTGGGGTTTGTTTGGGGTTATTTGGGGTTATTTGGGTTTATCTAGGGCAGCTCCAGGTGCAATGTCTGCAGAGAGACCCTGGGTACAACGCTGGGGAAAAAAGGGGATTGGGGTGGGAATTGGGGGATTCTGAATGGGGAAAGATCCTGGGTAGGAAAAGGGGATTTGGGATGGGGAAAGGGGAATGAGGTGGGGAACTGGGGTGGAAAAGGGAGATTTTGGGATGGGAAAAGGGATCTGGGGACAAAGGATTTGCAGAGGAAAAGGTAGATTTTGTCATGGGAAAAGGATTTGCAGTGGAAAAAAAGGACATTAGGGATGGAAGGAGATTTAGTGTTGAAAAAAGGAGGATTTAGGATAAAAAAGGGAGGATTTGGGCTGAGCCGAATTTACCTGGTGGAGTGGGGGCATGCCGGGGATTCAGAGCAGAGTCAGGACCATTTTTGGGGCCATTTTCTGGGATTTTGGAGTATTTCTATGGGATTTGGGGACAAGTCTATGGGATTTGGGTTCCCTTTTATGGGATTTAGGGTGTTTTGGGGTGGTGTTGAGGGATTTTTGGGTGTTTCTATGGGATTTGGGAGCACTTTTATGGGATTTCACGGGTTTCTACAGAATTTTGGGGTGCTTTGTGGGATTTCAGGGTATTTCTATGGGATTTTGAGGTGGTCTGGAGGGACCGCAAGGTGTTTCTATGGGATTTTGGGGCAGCTTGAAGGCATTTGAGGTGTTTTGGGGCAGCTTTAGGGTATTCAGGTGTTGAAGAATCTTGGGGTGGTTTGGAGGGATTTCAGGGTGTTCCTCTGAGATTACAGGATGGTTTGGAGGGATTTGGGGTGTTTTGGGTCAGATTTTGGGTATTTAGAAGCAGGTGTGATGTGGTTTTTCAGGATTTGGGGGTATTACAGGCCTGTTTTTTGGGTTTGGGGGGGTTTTGGGGGGGTTTGGGGTGTTTTGGGTCACTTTTTGGCAAAGGAGATCTCCATGGGGTGGCTCTGGGTGATGCTGGAGCCCTGCAGGGCCTCGCAGGCAGCGCCCACCTGCACCTCGGTGTCCAACTGCAGTGAGGCGATGTCGCGGCACCCAGGCACCAGCGCAGCTCCTGGAACCCCGGGAACCTGGGATGGGAATGGGGCCAGGAGAGCCTGGAACACTCGGGAACCTTCCCCAGACACCTGCAAACCTTCCCCAGACACCCGAGGATGTTTCCCAGACACCTGGGGATGTTCCCCAGGAAATCCAGGAATGTTCCCCAAAAACCCAGGATTGTTCCCCCAGACACTCAGGAATGTTCCCCAAAAACCCAGGAATGTTCCTCTCAAATTCAGAAATTCTCTGCAAAAAAAATCCTGAAATATTTCCCCAGAAATTCAGAAATGTTCTCCAAAAATATCCAGAAATGTTCCCCTAAAGAATCCTGTAACATTCCCAAAAACTCGGAATTTCTGTTCCCCAGAAAATCCAGAGACATTCCTCCCCAAAAAATCCAAAAACCCCATTCTTCATTCAGAAACATTCCCCAAAAATACAGAAATATTCCCAAACATCCAGAAGTCCCCCCCCTCCACAGAAATCCAGAAACATGCCTCCAAAAATCCAAAGATTCCCCCTCAAAAATATCCAGAAATCCCTCCCCAAAAAATCCATCTCCTCACTCAAAAATTTATAAATTCCGCCCTAAAAATCCAAACATTCACTACCAAAAATCCAGAAATTTCCTCCCTAAAAAATCCAGAATTTCCTCCCCCCCAATCCTGGCATTTTCCTCCAAAAATCCAGAAATTCCCCCTAAAATCCCAGACATTCACCCCCAAAATCCCGATATTTTCCCAAAAAATCCAGCCCCAAGCTCCCCTCAGCCTCTCACTCCCCAAACCCCAAAATCCCGCAGTGCCCCAAAGCCCGGCCGGAATGCCGGAATGCCGGGATTGCCCCAGATCTCCCTGGCTGAGGAGCACGGGGAGCATCAGCTCCTGGGGCTGCTCAGGGAGCTGGGGCAGGAACAGGATGTGCTTCGGGGCTTTGCCACAGCTGGGGAAACGGGAGACCAATGCCAAAATCTGCCCCAAAACTGCCCAAAGTCACTCTGGATACACAACACAAAATCTGCCCAAAATCCCAAGAGAAAACACCAAAATCCTGAGAAACACCACAAAATACCCCACCGAAATGATAATAATAAAAAAACCTCACAAAAACCTCCCCAAAATCCCCCACAAAAATATCACCAAAATCCCATAAAAATCCCAAAAAATACCACCCAAAATCCAACAAAAATCTCCCTAAAAAATACCCCCAAAACCCACCAAAATCCAATAAAAATCACTCAAAATTCTCACAAAAAATCCCACCAAAAATATCATTAAGATCCCATAAAAATTCCACCATAGAATCCTTGAAAATGCCAGAAAATCCACACAAAATCCCAGGTAAATCTCCACAAAAGCCCACAAAACCCACCCCAAAAATCACCCCAAGGCTCACAGAAATCCCTCTAAATCCCCATAAAAATTGCCCCCAAAATCCCCCTAAATGCCACAGAAAAATCCCTCAAAAATCCCACTAAATTCCCATGAAAATCCCATAGAATCCACAAAGAAAAAACTGTACAAAAATGCCCACAAAAATCCCCCAATCACACAAAATCCACACAAAAAATCCCTCCAAATCACCCAAAATACCCCACCAAAATTTCCCAAAAATCCACCCCAAATCCACTCAAAAAATCCGCACCAAAATCCCACCAAACCCCTTTCAAATCCCCCAAAAATTGCCCCCAAGTCTCTGTCCTGGGTTGTAAGATAAGCTTGTATTCCATTTGCCATCTGTCGAAGGCGAACCGGTTGGACAGGTTTTTTGTTATCTCTCTCAGAGACAATGGTTTGTGTATACACCTTTGACTGATTCAATGAAAGGCTGAAAAAAATGTAACGCCGTGAGGGGTCCCACCCAGAGGGGGGAAGCAGCTCTCCTTCTTCTTCGCGGGACTCCGAGAGAAGCAGCTCTCTC